CTGTCTTACAAGGAAGCATCTACTTTCTTACTATGATGTTCATGATAGGGTTTTTGTAAACATTCTTCTCAAGTTGAAGAAGTTCATGACTATTTCTAGTTTGTAGAATTCTCCCCCTGCCCCCCAATGAATTGGTGTTGGATTTTAATGCTTTTTATGTATTTGTTGATATGACCATGTGGTTATTCTTTTTAATTTACTGATATAGTGCATTTCATTAACTTGATTTTCAAATGTTGAACCAACCTCATGTATCTGGAATAAATCCTACTCAGCAGTGGTGCATATTTTTGTTTTTTGTATGTTGGATTTGCTAAAACAATTTTTATGATTTTTTGCTCCTGGGCTTATGAGATATAGTGACAGAATTTTTCTTCTGTATAATGTCCTTTGTTAGGTTTTGATAGTTGGGTAATATTGGCCTCATACAGTTGTTAGGGACTGTTTACTCTGCTTTTCTTTATTAGAAGTGATTCTAGAGAATTATCGTTTCTTCTTTAAATGTCAGGCAAAATTCACCTTTGAGATCCTCTGAGCCTGTTGCTTTTATTTTGAAAGGTTATTGATGGTTCAGTTTCTTTCAGGGATAGAGGCATATTCAAATTATTTTTTTCTCCTTGAATTTTGATAGGTTATATCTTTCATTTAAGTTACATCAAAGCATTTCATTGATGTTCCAGATTTTGGGGCATAGTTATTCTTAACATTCCCTTATTCTTATAGAGCTCATCAAATCAGTAGTGATGGACCCTTTTCCAATTGCGATATTAATAACTGTTTGGTTAGCTAGGCTAGAAATTTATCACTTATTGCTTGTTAAAATAACCAGTTTTTAACTGGATGGTTTCACTAATAGCAGGAGTATAAAGGACCAGGGGGGGAAAATAATAAGAATAAACAACTATATACCAGAGACATTTTACAGGGGTAGAATGGGGAATGGGATCAAAAATGGTGGGGGGAGGAAAGTGCACTGGACTTTGGTGATTGAAAACCCACGGGGATTACAACTGAGATGGAAAAAAGGCACAAAATGATGTAAAAATAAACTATTATATTACTTTTAAAAAGTAACCAGTTTTTTGGTTTCATTGATTTTGAAACCGTTTGCAGTTTCAATGCTTTTTTTTTTTTTCCTTTAACTTCTCCCCCTCTTACTTTGGAGTTAATTTACTTTTGTTTTTTCTAGTTTCCTAGATTAGATTGTTACTTTTATAGCTTTCTTTCTCTAACATGCATTTAATATTAGAATTTCTAAGCACTGTTTATGCTGCATCTCAAATATTTTGGATTAAGTTGAATAATTTAAGTTATTAAAAAATCTTTTAATTTCTCTTGAGTCTTTTTTGACCTGTGTGTTTTTAGAATCATGTCAGCTAACCTCTAAATGTTGTATTTTCTAGCTACCTTCATGTTGAATTTTAATTCCATTGTACTTTATAAGCATACTTTCTGCGGTTTCTGTTCTTTAATATGCGTTAGGATTTGTGTTTTATGGCCCAGGATGTGGTCTGTCCTGGTGAATATTCTATGTGAATTTAAAAGGAATGTGTAAAATCCAAAATGGACTTCAGCAGTAAGACTGTACTTCCTCCAGAGCCTCTTGGAGAAGAATCTGCTTCCTTGCCTATTCCATTTTCTAGGAGCTGCTTGTATTCCTTGGCTGGCAGCTCCTTCCTCAGTCTTTATTTCTCATGATTCAACCTCTGATTCTGTGACTACATTTCCTCTGAACTTCTGTGTTCCCTTTTTAGGAACTCTTGTGATTTTATTTTACCTGCCTATATAATCCAGGGTAATTGACCCATCTCAAAATCCTTAACAGTTCATACCTGCACCATGTAAGGTAGCGTACTTGTTTATATGCAGGTACGGGGATAATGACATGGATCTGGGCAGGTGGGAGTGAAGCTTCACCTTCCTGTAATAGTAGAGTCAGGATGTGAACTCAATATGCCTGCTCTTGGATTACTTCTCTCTTCTTTATGGCTTCTTTACTGCCTTCCACATCTGAATGTCTTCTCAATGCTGTGTTAATTGTCTACCTTTACTTTTCTCAGTATGATGGGATTTTCTCAAAATAGGATACACAGCATTTAAAGCAATTGAGATTATATAAAGGAAATTATATAGGACTGTGATAGAGAAACTAATTATTTGCATTTGGTCACCAACCATTTCAGGTTGTGGGTATGTCTGAGCACTTAACCAGTTACCTCCTAATACTAATGTAAATTTTAAAGTATATATTCAGGTAAGGGTATATATACATATGTGGTGTGTGTGTATTTAAGTAGCCTCTTCTGACTAGCAGCTACTTTATTAGGTTGTACAGTTCTGTAATCTTTAGCATTCCACTGAATTGCTTTTAGAGAACTAATGCTTGTTCAGTCTGGTTTGTCTGAAATGCAAATTCTTCTAACAACTAAACATTGCCTTAATTTTTGGTTTTTCTTTTTGTGAAACAAAGATAGATGGAGTAAAATGATAGGAGTTTAATAGCAAGCAATTTTAGAAAGGACAAACCAGCCATTGGGGGAGTTTGGTGTGTTAGGTACTTTCCTTCCAGTCACTGGGCAGCGTCATTAATAGTAGAAAGCTTCAGTATTTCATCATATTCCTTTCATTCTAGAAGCATCTCGTGACAACTTTGCTTGTTAACACAGACACTTTATAAAGGACTGTGTGAAAACACATTTGGGTAGTGTTTCATTATGCTGGAGAATGTAGCCACGTTTCTGTGTAGTTTATATGAGCTCCACCCATACTTCAACCTGTTATACATTTTGCTGAGGGCCAGGTCTGGTAGGGAAAAAGCAACAACAACAAAAAATCTTCCTGTGTGGCCTGGAGTTATCTAATGTGAAGATTATTAATGCTTTTCCAGCTAGGGTCCATACGAAAATAAAATCTACAGATAACTACACCCTTCCTGTTTGGGATTGAGTTTACTGTGGAACAGATTTCAGAAATAGGTTTCTGACAGTTGTGAATTTATTTATAAAATGTTGGAGGGTGAGGTTCTTCCTTTTACAAAAAACTCATTATTTCCTGTGTAAAGTCCAGCCAGCAGTTTAAGCAGTCTTTTTAGAAAATTCACTCTGACTTAGAGAAATATGTTCTGATTGTTCTTGTCGAGTAATCACAAAAGTTTGTCTGTTTCAATGAGTTATTAAAAGGATGTAGAGTCAGAAAACAAAACACAGATTTAAATGCTTTTGTTATCTTATTTCCAGAGAGACAGTAGTTTGCACTTTTTAATCTGGTTTTATTTTTGATATGCAAATGTATAACCCAATTATGTTCTGTAAATATGCTAAACGAAGAGTTACAGTTTAGGTAAAACAGTAGATTTACATTAAAGGATTTTGCAGGTTAATTCACAGTGTAACATTATCCTCATCTAGTACATCTGTTATAAAGAAGCCTGTAAAATTTAGGCCACCCACAAAGCGGTCTGCTGAGCCCTGTGGTTGGGGTTAGAATGCTGTGATTATGTGGCTGCTGGTTTGGTGATGAATTTACCTCCACTAAGACTAAAACACGCTGGCTTTGACTTTCCTGTGCAGAAATCAGGTGCTATATGTGTGTTAAACTAGTTGGTGCTGTATTGTCTTGATCATATGTAATATGTGAATGGTTTACTGTTTTCTCAGTTGATTCATTATACTAGTGATATCAATTCTGGGTTATGTAAGTAAGCCTTAAACAATAATAGATGGTGGCTTAAATGGTTCAAATTTAATGGAATGGCTAGCATGAGTTAATTTCATCAATTTTTGTAAAAATTGTGTGTGTGTATTAGTGCTGGCATGGAAAAGGCAGTGAAGGGTTTTATATCTTTTGACTTCTGTGTCATTTGAAGAGCTATATCCTTTTAATTTTCTTAGGGCTTATAATGAGATGAGCAAAGAGATGGATTTAGTATAACTTAGCAACCTATAATTGATTCCAACTTAAATATTAATTTAAATAGCTGTTTTTAAGGAAAATACTGCAGAGATTTACAGGACAGCAGCAACCACACAACAGTGGTCACTTGAAGAATAAAACGATCATAAGCTAAGCAGTGTCTCAAGTCATGTCTCTTAAGTTTTTCAAAGTGAACAACATCCCTTTTTAGAAAATGAACATTTTGATTGTTTTGGTTAAACTTAGGAAAATTAACATTTCTTTTAAGTTAGAAATTCATATTTCACTTAGTTTTCATGGAGATTTAACCGATTTTTCTGTAAGTACATAAATTACAGGGTATGAAAGAGAGAATAGAAATCTAAAATGCATTTTGTGACTACAAATTATGGAGATGACATTTAGTGTGGAGGATTTTGGGGGCAATTTTTGAAAATTATATATACATATTGATATGTAAAATGTACATGTTGAGGTAGAAAATGTATGTTGCCATGCATATGTGTATATGTAAGTATATTTATATATGTGTGTTATAAACATACACACACCCATGTGAGTATAACATTAGGTTGAGCTTAACTGCCTTGATGACTTTAACTATGGTTGAATATTTATAACTTGAAACTTTTTTCCCCCTAATAGATATTTTGAGGTTTTTTTTTAATAGTCACTTATATATAAAACAGAATTTTGCATGTGTCATCTTGCCATCATTCAAACGAAGACTCTGAAGTTATGGACTCAGAAACTTTTTTCTTTCAAATCAGTGAGTGAATAAAACCATTAATGTTCTCTTCACTTTTAATCTGATATTTTCCTATTCGAGTTCAGGTGCTGAGAAGTGCCACCTGTAACTCCTTCATTCAGTAGTGGATGCATCATTGTTTTCCTGCTCATTCTAGTTGTCATTGTGGCTCAGAGATCTGACTGGCCTTTGGCAGAATGATTCCTGGGGCTGAGCAAGGCTCAGCAGTGTTATTATTTTCCTTGTAGACGTCAGTGTCATAATTCTGCCTACTATTGTCAGCACAATGTTTGACTGATTGTATTTTCACTCTTAATCATAATGTATTTTACCTTTCTAGGTTTACCGACAAGACTGTGAAACTTTCGGGATGGTTGTGAAAATGCTGATTGAAAAAGATCCTTCATTAGAAAAGTCTATACAGTTTGCATTGAGACAGAATTTACATGAAATAGGTGAGCGGTGTGTCGAAGAACTGAAGCATTTTATTGCAGAGTATGACACCTCTAGTCAAGATTTTGGAGACCCTTTTTAGAAATTTGCTCAGGCAAAAAAAAAGTTTCTAGATTCATTCCCCCTACACTCCCAATTGTGTAAATCCTTAATATATGGAATTTTTGTGAAGAAAGATACTTTATGATAGTTGACCACATTCCAGTATCAGATAAACATGTAAGGTATCCATATGTAGAGCCACCAGGTCCATATTTTTTTGTCCATCCCCCACTAAAATAATGGTCAATTAATTTTTCAAACTTTGAAAAAGCAGTCTAGGGGACAGGACTCACTCATGTTCTGTCGTCTTCCATTAGTTTGGTCACACTAGTGTAATTTATAGGTTAGAGATCATTCCACTTAAAAACATTTTAAGTCTTTTTCATTTAGGATCCAGTGATACCATACAACATGTCAGAATTTTGAGATGTGATATTTTTGACTTGTTGGGCATTGTCACATTAAATATATTTAAGTATACTATTCAAAAGCTGAGTACTTTGATATCTTAGAGAATATTTGCTTTGAGAATGATTCTCATTGTGATAAAATAGAGCACTTACATTTCTGAAAGACACCTCATAATAAAATCTGTTTACCGAGGAGATGAACTCAATGTCTTCTATTAATATAAACCCAAAAGAAAAAAAATCTTAAAATTCCTGACTGTTCGCACCTACATGTGAATCTTAAACACTATTATATAAGTCTAAGAAAGGGGGCATTTTGAGATGAGCAGTGAGGACTGTTTATAAAGTTGAAATTTGTTTAAAAATTTTCTAATTGAAAAAAAATTTTTTTTTCTAATTGAAAGAGAAAAATTTAGACTGTAAAGGAGTAAGGGGCTTTCATTCTTCCATTTGTCCATATTCCCCATCTCAAGAAGGAAGATGATTGTTCACATGTCCATGATTAAATAGTTTGCAGATTATGCCTTTGTTAATCTCTACTTGCAGTCTAACAAGTTAGTTACCCTGCTGCAGACCTTCTTAGGGATTCTTAACCCTGCAAAAGTGTTCTTTAAAAAAAAAAAAAAACAGAGCAGGCAGTGAGCCCAACTACCCCGACCAAGCCGTCTGTGAAAACAGTGAACAAGCCATACCGATCACGGGTTAGTGAATTAGGATATTCCATTTCCTGGTCACTCCCAGCTGCCCAGTGGCATTTTTCCAAAATATGTAATGTTGTGGCATTGGTTAGGAAACCTTCAAAATCATGTTTTTTTTTTACTGCCCATTTTCTTTGTCCTCCTGTCCTCTTTCTGTTTAGGTTCCACTTCTCATTTGAATCCTGGCATTATTTTTGTGACCTCTGTTGATAATTATCTAAAGAACTACCACAGAGTAGATAAAAATTTTATTAAAGGCAGAAAATAGCAGTATAAAATAATTATAGTGGACCCTATGGTGGGGGGGGGTTCCTCAAAATATGTTATGCCATTCCACAAATTTAAAAAATAATAAAGACAGCAGTTATTTTCTTAAGTTCCCTATAATACCTTGGATTTTTAATTTTGCTATTTGTATGGTATACATAAACCAGCCTCTGCCCATCATTTCTGGTATTCTCTAATATGAACAGTGATTTTATTTGTTACCCACTTTACAAAGACTAAGAAAGTACAGGTTGTGTTTTCCCCTGCCCCCCTTCATGGTATTTTTGTGGGGTTTTTTTTTTCCACCTTAAATATTCTAATGCAGGATTCAGTTCTTTCCGTCAGGATCCCCTAAGATTGAAAATAAACCTTGAGAAACTACCACTGAGGCAGAGGAGTTGTTTTACACTGTTGAAATTAACTAGACAAGTTTTCCTCACAGATGCATTTAAATGTAGCTTCAACAGATAGTTTTTTCTTCCCGATTCCCAATTAATATCCACTACCTAAAGCTGCTTGTAGCTTGCTATCAGCATTACCCTGATAGACTTGTCAGTGTTAAGTATATTTGTTTTTTTCTAAGTTGTCTGTTTACTTTCAGGATAGTATCAGAGTGTTTTGCAAAATGTTCTTGATTAAAGAATTTTGTTTGTAAATGTGATAGTTTTTATTCTCTTATCATAAAGCCTTGATATCAACCAGGAAAACAGCTATTGTGAAGTTGCTTGTGAACTTTAAAAGTGCAAAATAAAGCAACCAGATTGAAATAGATTGTATTTTTTCTCTTTAACAGGCTTAATGTTCTGCTGAAATGTCAATTTTTTATTACTCTGTACTACAGAATTCCTTCTCAGTATTCAGGTTACATACTCAGCATGTAGGACAGAAGAAGTTTAAGAATTGAGACACTATTTACTTTGTTGGCTTAGCATCTTGCTAGCTGAGAGGACAGTTAAATGAGATAGAGCACACTGGAGTTCTCAATGACTGTTATGTTTATGAATGAGTTTCAGATAATTGTAGGATTAAAACTCCTGAGGGTAAGAACCATATTGTCACCTGGCTCTGAGAATTCTGGAACATTCTGAGTACTATTACTTGTATGTGCTCCAAAAGGAAGTGAATAGGACTTACTCAGGCAGCAAAGAAGAAATATTTCAAGTCCAGAAAGAGAGAAGGGCTTGGGGAAAGTTCTGAGAGCGTAGACTGAAGCCCATTGGGGAGGAAAAGAAATAAATGAAGGCAAAGGTAGGTGGGGAGTAGAATGTGAATGTCGAAAGCTTGAAATTTATCCTTTCCTACTTTAGAATGATATTTAAACATAACACCTTTGTTGTCCTTACCAAGATGCTGATTTCTCAGCCCCTCAACCAGTTCCCAGCCCAGAGACAGTTCACAACCCAGACACACTCTCTTGGAGGAAGGGAGGCCAGAGCCTCTTAGGAAAGGACTTGGCTGCACTGACGAAGGATTGCATCTGCTTTCAGCTCCATTTCAGAGTTTCTTACATGGGATCCTAAGTTCCCTTGCAAAGAAGGACTTGTGAGATGGAGTTCTGGTCACCCCTGAAACACTGGTGGTAGACAGTACTCACTGCTGTGCCGGCTATGGCCCAGGTGGCATCAGCCTGCAGCCCCCAGAGCAGAGGCCACACACTGCCTGCCAGACCCAGGCATGTGGGTCTTGGGGAACATGTGTATCACTTCCTTCCTGCCAGTTCTTTCAGTAGTATTGAGGTTCACCAATTAAGTGGGGGAAGATGGGATGTGCGCAAGAGGCAGACCATAACTGAGGGAATTGGCAGAATCTGTTCTCTCCTTACATGCTAAAGAAATTGAGTCACATTTCTGCCTGATTACGACCATATTTGCTGTGTCCCTCTTTGAGGTTAATTTTAATTATGCAGTTTCATTCTTTCCTGTCGGGTCTGAGTAGACACAGTATTTCTCACAGGCTGAGACCCTTGGGACAACAGATGTGTCTTCTTCATGTCTCTGATCCCTTCCCAAATGATCATCAGCAGCCCAACTTTGATTTGCCACAGAGGCATGAGATGAGACTGGATCCCTGTGTGACCCTGGAGGAAAAGCACCTGTTATGTGGAAGAGACATAAACGCCCTTTCTTGTTGGCAGCTCACCTTCCGGTCCCATTAGTAAACACTCAGCAGGCTAGTGCCATGCTGAGTGTAATTTCATTACAGTTGACTTTGGGGTAAATAATGGGGATTGATTATATAAAAAACTGCAGTCCACTGAGCTAATCAAGTGTATTCTAAAATCTCATTTGATGACAACTGTTGGTGAAGCCTCATACACATGTGGACAGTCAGAGAAGCCTCACAGTGGGATTCTGAGCACTGCAAGTTTACTAGATTGTGAGTCTCGTATGAGGATCACGTTTTCTTTGTGTTTTAAAGATTTATTTTTATTTATGCATGCAAGGACTAGTGTGTAGGCCAGAGGTACAGGGGGTGAGAGGATTCACCAGAGACACAGTAGGGAGCAGAATAGGTGGATCCACTGAAACACACTGCTGAGGGGAGCAGTGTGGGTTCTGAGGTACACTACATGTGTCAGCTCCCTGGCCAGGGATTGAACTCAGGCCGCAGTGACTGGTGATCACTTGACAGCATTGAGCCTTGAACCTCTGCCACCAGGAGGCTCACATTTTATTTACTTGGAGCAACAGATTGCATCCCTGGGTCTTAGGAGTAGGATGCCGAGCTCTAAGTATCTCACCCTGCACCAGTTTGACTTTTGCAAAGCTTGGGCCTCCGTGGCTGGCCTGTTCTGAGATTGAGCGAGAGACCTATTTTTTTCCTTCAGCTAAGCTGGGAATATGGGTGTAGAATTAGCCCCTACTTTGGTAGTTTTCCAAGTTTTAAACTCTGTATTCTGCTGCTCTTATAGGGTAGGATCTAATGTGCCATAGTGGGTAGTGCATGAGAGCAAAAACCCCTATACTTTAGGGGTTAATATACTAAATACTTCATAGAATTAAGTTTTTTTTTTTTTTTTTTGGTTCCTTTGCATTCTGAACAGGGTTAGAACGACCAGTTTAGTGTATTATTTTATTTAGTGATTCACAACTTTTTTCATGTCACAGGCCATTAATTATTGACCATTCATGTCATAGGCCATTAAATCATATAACTGGAAGTGGGGGAAAGCCAGGGTTTTACCTAGATCTTTGCACTGTAAACTCACTTTTTAGAACGAGAGGGAGCATTTGGTGAACATTCAGAAGCAGGCTCACATACTGACTCCAGTTCACTAGCTGTTTGATGTCTGTACAGTTTGTGTATGATGCATTGTGATGGGTAACAATACTGACACTTGAGCAAATTTAATTCCTATTTCTAACGTTATCCTTTGCTGGTACTATATTCCATAGTGGGTTCCGATGACTTTAGCTTTGGAGCTGTATTAGAAAAACATGTTGGAGAGACACTGGCATTTAGGGTTACACCTTCTACAGCCACAGTGTACCCTGGGGCTCAGATCTCTGGCTGTTCTTGAAGTTTGAGAAGAGCCATTTAAATGGAATGAACCTGGTAATCCAACTCCCCAAGAATGAGCCTTAATTGAATATAGCCAACACCTCAGTTTTGCTTTTAACAGGTTCAGAGATTAAAGTCTAAAATTTTGCTGCCAATAGCCCTCTAAGATGTGGGGATAAAAATCTCTTTTCTCCTGGTAACTGGATAAATGATAAAAAGGAAGGAAAATACTTTGGCTTCCATGTATCCTGTGCAATCTTTGAACTATTTAACAAAGACAACTTGAAGTGTGTGTGTGTGTGTGAAAATGGGGTGACAACTATCCCCAACTTCTTTTTCATAACTTATTTTCACTTTTTGCTCACTCATAATTCCAAGCATGAGTGTAAAGCACTAACTTTTAGGCCTTCGGTGATATTACTCTTTCAGGCATCCTTGCAGGACAAATATGGTGCTATAAATAAAAGGGAAACAGCCCTTTATGCTGAATGGGGAAACTTTCCAATGACTGACTCAAAATAGTCAGTTTAGTCTCCACTTCAGAGGAAGGGAAAATTTGAGATTGTCTGTGCACTCATTTTATAGGAGGAGAAATTGAGTCAGCAGGTAACCTACTCGAGTTACTGAGAGAGGTGGGTTTCCCAACCCAACCCAGATTTGAATCTTGAGGTTTCATGTGCTTGTACATGCTAGGGCCAGCTTTGTGCTGCATTTATGCTAGCCTGTAATCCAAATTTGTGTGGGCTTATACTAGCCAGTAATCGTCTTTTTCAGTGTCAATTGCTTGTTTCATTCATTGAAACACTATAAAACAAGTATTAGCAGGTGAGTGAACTGGCTTCATATTCTTAATGATACTATTCGTAGTGTCCTTTTTTTTTTTTATGGTGGTAGAACTGGGGTGTAGGCTAGAGGTGTGTGGGGGACGGTGAGAGGACTCACCAGAGACAGAGTGGCAAACAGAACAGGTGGGTAGACTGAAATACACTACAAAGAGGAGCAGTGGGCAAAACAGGAGAGGTCTGCTGTGCTGTGTGGGTCAGCTCCCTAGCCAGGAAATCAACTCAGGCCTTAACCACTGATAGCTCTGAGCCTAAACCCTTAGGCCACCAGGGAGGATCCCCATATCCACCATCGGTGTAAATGTAAACCAGGAGAGTTTCTTTTGGGGGAAAAACGGACAATATCTATCAAATTCTTGCATTAAATGCATGACCTTTGTCTCAGTAGTTATGCTGCTCATAATGCATGTGCCATTGTGCCAGAGCAGGAGAGTGTATCTGAAAAAAATTCAGATGCACAACTGAGGACTGGTTGAGTTCATTATGGTAGATCCACAAATGGACTGTTACTCTACTGTCAGCAGTGAGGTGGGCCCTCAGGCCAGGCACGATTGCTGAAGAGTGTTTTGGTCAATATAGGCCCTGAACGTTGCCTACGTGTGGAGTGGGCAGTACCATCCAGGTGTCTGTGATTACACTATCACAGTCACGCAATGACAACATCACATAACCAGCACATTTCTCACATTGTTTCTCTCATTGACATGTCTATGTACGAACATAAAATGTCCACATAGAAAGTGGAAAAAAGCCAATCACTATCATAATTTGCTACCACTTTAAAAAAACATTTCTATGACAGGCGTTGGATGTCCTGAGAATATACTAGACGTGGGTACAGAGGGCAACTGAATGAGCAATGTGGACAAGCAATGATTACCTGTCTGGGAGTGTGTCTGTGTGCAGTTTTTTAGTTGTCTCAAGGGCCACATTAGCAAGCCCTTCTTAATTTCTTCTCAATACCTTCCAGGCATTTCTACCTGCAGGTGACTGCTGAGGTATGGCACTCACTGTGCCGTGGGGTACTCCCCAGGAACAAGGGACCCTTGGAAAAAACCTCATTTCCTTTTCACTTTCATTTTCACAAGCAGCCAAGGCCTGAGAGGTCATCTCTCTCAAGTGCCACATTTCTCCAGGCCAGTAGTGCAGCCACAGGCCAGAGTCTGCTGTCGAACACTGGCTTACCCTTTGCATTGATGACCTTACTTCCCAAGGTCTAACAGCTCTCCCCCATCCCAGTAAATTCAGCTTTGCAGTCTCTGTGCTTCAAGCCCTATTTCCCAGCTAGGAGCAGGTGCCAGTGGGCACACGCGTGGAACAAATGGCAGGAGAATGGCAAATTCATCATGGCTGAACAGAGGCACATCATGGAATTCATCTGAGTATGTTTGCAAAGACTTGTGCTCAAAGGTAGTCTGTTATTTATCAAGTGTTTATTAAATGCCTCCTCAATGGTCCAAGATAGCGTCCATTAGGGCTGTAGGTGACCTGTAGGTAGAAATGTAGCATGTGTGCAAGACCACAGCATAGCCCAACACTGCCTGAAGTTAGTGCCTCCCATTAACATGAAGTCGCCAGCATCCTCTAGTTTTTAGAGCTTAGAAGAAAATAACCAGAGACCAAGTTTCAAAAATTGCTGCTAAAGGCCAACAAATTAGCAGAAAGGGAGGGACAAAAAGGAGTAACTTGTCTCCAAACAATAAACTGATGAAATCCTCTGCCACAAAAAAGCAGATCCATGGAAGCTGGGTCCCTTTGGCCAAGAGAATCGCCACCTTGCTGAAAAGGGAGCCCCTCCTCCCACCCTAAGTGGGGGGGTGGGGTGAGGGAGACATCTGCTCAGGTTCTTTTTACCATATATTCCAGGGGTATGTGCAGGATTTTTTTGTTTGTTTTTACATTTATACAGTTTACATTGCTTGACCCATAAATAACACTCGTAAGATTAATAGGGCCATAGTTTTACAGAATATTTACATAGCCTCACCATGCATATAGAGCCTTTTTAGTACTGAAAAATCAAAAAAAAAAATTCAACTTTCCATCACTAGGCAATATAAATTTGTCTAAACTTATAAACCCTGACTAAAATACAAGCAATCATTTCATCCTTCAATGCTGCTTCTGGTTCCCTAACAAATCTAGCACTGCAGTGTAACAAACATCTTGCAATTCAGGGATATAAAAATATCAGCTTTAAAATCTGAACTGTACAGTATGTACATTAATATTTGCACCATTAAATTAGGAATACACTTAAGTCTATGAAATACTACATTATAAATAGTAATGTTTTTTTTTCCCATCTGTAGCTGGAGCTAATACAATGTTTATCTGGCTAGTGAGGGGTGAAGGGGGATAAGGTGGTCTCCCACAATGGGGGGCTGACCCGGTCAGCATGGCAACCTGCACCCCACATAATGAGGCAGACCCACTGGTGGTGGTGGGGCAACTTGGCATCAGGGAATGACAAACACTATTGCTTTACAAAGGCAGCTGAAGTTCTCCATTGTCTAAAATCAACACCCTTGTCCAATCACCTCTGGCAGTTTTTAGGGGATTCTCTTGCTGACTGGAGATCAACACCAGATGTGTGGAAATGATGAACTTTGCAGGTAAGAGGTTCTGTCAACCTGTTCCCATCCAAGGAGGGTAAACCGGAGAAATCACACCTTCCGAATATTAATCAGATACTGTAAACAGCAGTCATGGTCTCATATACATGGGCAAAGCACTTTAAACTATCTTAGTAACTTCCTATGGGAGAAAAAGATATGATTCAAGATGGTGAGTGACTGAGTTCGAACATGACCTCCACAACTACAAGGTTAAGAAATAATACAGTTTTTGCCCTTGTGGCCCTTTTTCTTCTTGGATTTAGTTGTCCTCTGCCCGAACTGAGGCGTGGGGAGCGCAGAGTTGGGACTGGACAAGTCGTCTGGATAGTAGGCGTATCTCTGTGGCCGGGGTTGAGGAATTGGCTGTCCGAGAAAATAGCCCTCTTCTTCTGAGTCGGAGGAGGAGGTGGAGGAGGAACACCAGGAGTCGTCGTCCTCGCCGTAGAGGCCCAGGAACCTGTTCATTCCCGGGCTCTGCAGCGTGTAGTCGGACGTGGCGTGGGCGTACTGCCCGTAGAGGTCGGCCTTCTGGATGTAGGCCTGCATCTCGCGAGCGCTCTTACTCTGGATGAACTTCTCATAGTTGTCAGGGGCGTAGAGTCGCAGCCTGTCTTTGGGAGGGTACTTCCTCTCGGTGACAAGGTTCAGGGCGTTGTCGGAGCGGGACTTCCTGCTTCTCCTGCGGCGATGGTGGTGAGGCCTGGAGCCCCGCTCTTCAAAGTGGTAGACCCGTCTCCGAGTCCTCTCGCTCATGGGAGGCTGTCGGATCTCGATGTTGTCATAGTTTCCATTGTCGATGACATCGTCGGAGAACTTCACCTGTTGTGGCCTGGACTGAGACTTGGACCTCCTGAGCACGGGCAGGTGGACTGGTTTCTCCTCAGGCATGATTTTTTCTGGACACAGCTCTGAACTTAGACTCTTTAAGGACTCTGTGCTCCTGTGCAACATGGAAGAGTTCAGAGTGCCCATGTTGCTCATTTTCTCACAATCTTCTACCTCTATTTCCTCAAAGTTCTGCAGAGAATATAAGGATGGTCTCGGCTTGCTTTCTCCATCTACCGAAGCGCCTACAAGAAAAGCCAAGAGAAGCTATGATGCCCAGTAATCTTGATACTCTGACAATTGCAACTTGCTACTAAAATGAAGCAACTCATAGAAAATTCTCCCAAATATTCAAAGTGACTATCACCCAGAAGGTAAAACCAACTTTCTCTCCTATACTTGAAGAGGAGGTATGGATTTTGTTCATTACAGGGGCACAGCCTCTCCAGTGAGCCAGCTGAAATGGAGCCAAACATTATAGCACTTGGCATGAGCAACAAAAATGCAAAAAAACTCTTCATAAAAACTCCTTCATGTGTTTGTTAACACAGGAGATGAAGAAGCTTCTGCCTCTTTAGCCATTAAAGCCAGATTATTTACTTGAACACTTCTCAAATCAACCTTTTTTTGCAGCCACATGGCCACCATGAAGGTCCCGTCTACATAGACTTCGTCATCTTCCATCTGTGCTGGCAGCCAGCAAGCTACAGCCCGAGGGCTACATCCAGCCACAGCCCACGTCCAGCATTTCACTGGCACACAGCCACACCTGGCTACGTGAGAGCTGCGACTGCTTCCCACAATGAGAGCTGCGTAGCTGCAACAAACACTCTGTGGTCCCCAAAGTACTATCTAGCCCTTCTCAGAGGAGCTTTGCCGATCCCTGACCTAGAGTTACCTCCAGTCTCTTCCCCTACGAATTATAACATATGCCACTTCAGATTCAAGACCTTATTTTAAAAATTTTTCCAATCCGCTATCACTCTCCTTTCTTACATTAAGGTTTGGGCAAATTAAGGTAAATGAATATTACTTACTTTATAAATTATAAAAGGTAAGCTGAGGACACAGAGAAAATCATGCTTATTTGTCAACTAGACATGTGACTCCTTGCTTTCTAAAGGGAACTTGTTTTTCAACCCCTGACTGTTAGGAATGCCCACCTTGCCATTTTGTATTGACCAAATGGTCTCTTTTTGATAAATAATTTAAAGACAGATTTATTTATTTATTTACACACAGGAGAGGTCTGCCATGCTATGTGGGTCACCTCCAGGGCTGGGGATTGAACTTGCATGAGGTAGTTGTACCCAGCCTCTTAGTGCTGTGCTTCAACCCACTGAGCCACCAGGGAGGGCCCTGACACTAAACTTAAAACACCCAGCATGGGGCCTAGCAAATGATCTTCCCTACCATTCATCAAGTCTCCCTCTTTCGCCCCCCTCCACTGTAGACTTATCTTGGACAAGTCCAACAGCAGCTACGAGGATGGCCGTCTTGCCCCTTCTTGTCATCCCAGCCCCTGCTCAGTCACTCCTGGCAGCGAGCTGCCTCTCATAACTTCCTTTTATTCTACAGTAATGTGACTGGATGTCATAGTTTAACTCTGAAAGTTGACTCTATTCAATATTTCTGTATCAAAACCTATGGGACTCAGGAGGGCAACACTGCAGACCCAGCCTGGGCCTCTTGGTGATTCATGGTTCCTTATTTGTAAAATGCAATGTTATCTACTCTATGTAGCTAATAGTGGTTTTAAGGGTAAAATGTGGGGAACTGACGTGAATGTGCTTTGAAAACATTCAAGTGAAATTATTTTACAATCTGAATAAAAGTATTTGCTACTTCAAACTGATGCCACAGGGCAATTTGGGCAATGATGCAAGAAAAAAAGTTACAGGCTTAGAAAGTGCTTGGGCTGAGACTAATCTCTTGCAGAGCACATAGTATATTTCAAAGAATCCAGAATCTTTCCACTATAGAGGCACAATCTATTATACGAATAAGTCAGTTTCTTCCTCTTTAAAGTAGGGATAATAATAATACCTACCTTGAAGGACTGTATTGAAAAAAGGATGTGTAGGGCCTCCCTAGTGGCCTAGAGTTGAGTCTCGGGCTGTCACCACGATGGCCTGAGTTCTATCCCTGGCCAGGGAGCTGCCCCACATGGCGCAGCAGACCTCATTTGTCTCTCCTGCTGCTCCCCTCAGCAGTGGACTTCAGTAGATCCACCTATTCTGCTCCTTACTCTGTCTCTGCTGAGTCTTCTCACCCCCTACACCTCTGGCCTACCAGTTCTATGCAAAAGAAAAACGAATGTTTATATACACGCATACACACACACACTTTTTCCATAGTGTGGCATTTAACTGAAATTCCTTCCTTAGCCTCTACTGGTACCAAACTGCAGTATCTAGAATCAACTTCTTAGTAGCTCCTTTTTCAAAGACCCTGAAATAACTTGATTACATACCTGTGATATTGGACAAAGCCAAAGAATCCATGGAATCCCGAACACTTTGCTCTGGTTTCAAGTCTGACAAACACTCCAGGGAATCTTCATACCACTGTGTCTGCTCGTGATTATATCCTGAAGCCCCGTGGTCCAGCTCCAATTCCTGGAGCCTCCTACTGCTGGCAGGGCCTGGGTGGCTGCCGTAAGCCGAGTCGCCCAGTCCATCTTGTGACTGTGCCCAATACATGTCAGATTGGTATTTTTTACTTGCCAGGCTCTGGTTATTCTGCTTCAGCTCGGTCTTACTTTTAACCATGTTATCAGACAGCCAGTGCTCATTAGCTCGACTATCCATTTCACTGGGCTGCTGCTGAAAGAGGCTTTTATCACCAAACTTGAGGAGGAGCTGAGTCATATAATCTTCATGTTCAGCCCACTCTTCAGGGTCTTCCGGGGTTTCGTGCTCTACTCTGCCTTTCCAAAATTCTTCATTAACGAAACTCGCACCTTGCCTGGAGAGACTCAGGTCCTCCAGTTTCCTAGACAGGGTATCATCAGCATTGCCAGAAAGGCCAGGAAATTTGTAGTTCAAAGCAGGGGACAGGAGCAGCGATTGTCTACACTGATCGGCTGACCGACTGCTATTGCCCATTCGGACGCTTCTCCTGGAGTCTCTCGATCGAGCTGACTGAAATGCAGAATCGGAAGAATCTGAGGCATGGACGTCTTCTCCAAGGCTACATGTTTTTGAGCAATAAATCTGACCTTGTTTGGGAAGGAAGGGACATCCCAACAAAGAGGCTTTACACTGGGCACAAGAAAAGCAGGCTTCTGTCGCGTGCCAGTGCTGTCCGTCGTAGGTCATCTGTGCATGGTCTACACCTGTGTTGAAAGGGTAGAGAAATGGGTCAGGAAAAAAAGGTAATTATAATAAAGTGAAAATCAAAATCAACAGGCAACTATAAACTAGAGACATTCTGCAGGCGGCGGGGGGTAGGGAGCAGGATCAAAATAGCGGTGAGAAGAGCACAAGGGTGAGTTGGTGGTGGGAATTCCGCCAAGATGGTAATGATACATTGTGTAAAAATGAAGAATGAGGTAAAAAATATATGAAGTAATTTTTTAAAAAGTGAATGAAAAGGGCCCTTCCTGGTGGTGCAGCGGGTTAAAGCACAGCACTGAGAATCTAGAGCCGCTTCCGCATGAGTTTGATTCCCGCCTGCCCCGGAGGAGACCACATGGCGTGGCAGACCTCTCCTGACCCGCCCGCTGCTCCCCTCAGCAGTGTAC